TATTTTATATTTCTTTAATATTATTTTAGTCTTTATTTTAGTCTTAGTTTCTCCTTAATCAATCATTAATTAGCCTTAGCTTTACAAAGCGACGATAGATTACAGTAGGTTGACAATGATCTCTGTGAGTTCGACAATCTTTTATATTACTTCGATATTTATGTGCACTTGCGGAGGCATCACATATAAACATACATTTCACGCATCACATACATAAAATAAAAGTTGGTAATATGATTATGACCACCTAAAACGCAAGATTTAAATAAACTATTTTATTACAATTCTTTGACCAACGAGCAAGCTTCTCAAACCTCTCCATGGGCATGGTCGTTTGGGGTTGTCTTCTCTTCAACTCTTGAACTTGAACATTTATAATATTTAAATAAATAAAATAATAATTGAATGGCACGACGCGAAGGTCGTATTTAATTACAATAAACCACGACACACAAGCCGTATTTAAATAAAATAAATCACGGCACGCAAGCCGTATTTAAAATAAACAAACGCCAAAATCTAAGGTCATAACCGTATACCAATATATTTAATAATAAATAATTAAATAATAAATAATAACATTTTATCAAATTATAAATATTGACGCACCAACACTTGATGTTTTTGCAAACCCTAAAAATACAACTCCTGCATTGTTACAAACCCTAATGCAAACGCGACCATACCATCAAAATATAATGATCGATTATTCAATATGACTAATCAAAATCTCATTACTTCACTATACAAATGTCGGATTCTGAAGCAGAATGAACATTGATCATTCAAATATATAACAATCATTACACTAATTTAATGGACGAAACAAAATAGTGTATCAAATACACTGTGTTTATATTAGAAATATTTATATCATATACAAATTTATCAATTATATTTGTATCATTTATGGATGATCGAAGTATTGCTGCTTCACCATACTAATGTCGGATTCCAAAGCATAGTCAACAACGAACATCCAAATTATACAAATATGTGATGTCAATATTTAATATTAAATAATAAAAAATTGATTATCTTATTATTATTTATAATAATAAACTATTATTATTATTTATTAATTACTATATTATTACTATAATTATTAGGGACTTTCTTTTCCCACCTAGCAGTCTTCTTCTAGGCCCCTGGTGAAAAACTCAAAATACCTTCAGAATTCACAAGTGCACTTGTGAATGCACCATCAACGTGAATTATTTGATTTACTTTGCATGTGCACTTCTAAATTCACCTGTTAGAGGATTTCATAAGTGCATATGCGAATTTTTGTCTGGGCAGAATCAATCAAAAATATTCAATGCAATTCATAACATTCATTCAACATAATTCAAAGAAATTAATTCCACTATATTCCGTTTCAAACCGGCAAGTATGTTTTTTGGTGCAACTTTGATCAACGATAATTCGGAAATAAATTCCTTCTCTACCGGCTTAAGCCGACATGCAATTTGATGTCTGTGTAACTTGGTGTAACGCATGATTATGCATTCCGAACATGACATTAAACCGCCATAAATCATCCACCCTACAATAACCACACAATTTGAACGGACACCCACATTTCCTCGATTTCGTGTCATCGTGTTTTATATTGCGAATTTTTGAAACATATTTTCCACTTCTCTCGCACGTCATCACAACAAATGGTTACCGATTACTAGTCTCATTGTCGGAACTCTCAATCACAACGCCAAAACCATGTTTGCTAGCTTCCATTCGAACCCAATCAAGCATATGTTGACGAGTGGTGAAAGTTTTGTCATTTGGAAATTGTTGTTCATGATCTATCACAACATCAATCGTTTTATCAACGTCTTTCACCATATTCGATTTATCATCTACATTGACCTTGTCCGGAACCAGAACCTTTACAATAGCTTTGACGATGTTGTCGGGGTGCACCGTACGTAAAATGTTCAAAAAAACATGATGAAGGGATTAAAATTTACCTCAAATTACAGCTTTTTATGCTCACTTTGCTAATCTCAAACACTTGAAACTTGATTTGGAGACGAAAAATCTTTGAGATTGAGTGAAGTTTGAGATTTTTTTTTGTTAGAGAAAAATAAAATGAATGAAATAATATGAATAGATTACCATGCAACATTCTAATATAAAAAGAGAAGTTTCACAAGTGCACTTGCGAGTCCACCTTTCAGCATATTTTGCAAATACACTTGCAAAATCCCATCAATTTTGTAAAATCTAATATTTAAATAATAAAACATGCAAAATACGATGATTTCCTAAATACGCTTACGAAATATACTAAAAAGTGAATTCAAAAATATTCTTCTAAATAATATTTTTTTTAATTTTCAGTAGTAGTGAAAATCACCCTAGATATGAAGATAAATTCCCTAATTATTATTATAAACTAATAAACAAACTATATCAAAGCTTTCGTTTCATAAACAAACGCCGAATTTTAGACATCCATGTCATGCGAAAACATATGTGCATTACAGTTTGGTAGGCTAATTACTTGTCTCAAAACCATTTTGAATTGTCAATTAAAACCACAACATCATAACAATCCAATTGAATCACGTATTCTCAAGTTAGCAGCAAGTTATGACATGACTGTGGTGAGAATGACAAAATTAATGATTAATATTACAAGAGAAAGAATTTCTCTATTTATACGGAGGTATTAAAATCCTAATGTCTTATTTTGGATATTTTCCAAAATAATCTCAATCATATTTAATTAAACTATTTTAATTTAATCAATATTATTTATATTTAATCAAACTCTTTAAATTAAATTAAATTAAATATTAATTAAATTAAATCATATTTAATTTAATCAATTGTCAATTCTCATTTATTTAATTAAATCATATTTAATCAAATAATTTATATGTGTTAATGTATTAAATAATTTAAATATTATTAGCACATAACTAAATTAAATCATATTTAATTTAATCATTCATTCTGCTATAAGTACTCTATGTGTGTGACCATGTAGGCTCTCATAACGTTGACAATAATATTAAATCACCTATTTAATATTATAAACAGTGAGTGATATCTAGCAACACATCACTGCTACTCAAGTGACGAAAATGTCGTGTGATCTGACATAATATTTATGTGATAATGATCATTTGTACAATTACCTTTTTGACCTTATGTCTATATTGGACACAACACATAGAATGTGTCACCCCTGTATAGTCCAATATTATATTTCGTGATACTCGAGTATACTTTGATAAGAAAAAATAAACTCAATATCTCATATTGACTTATTTGAGCACGGCCATGTATTTTACAATCATACTCTATCAAGGACCCATAGATATTACTCACGTATATGTAAGAGGGACAAATTTCATCTAGGTCACTCATGTCCCTCAGTATGATTTGTAAAGTACCCACCAACTATCTTTATGGTCATCTTGTTACGGACAACGTTTGATTGATAATAAAGTATCTGACTCCACATCTAGAGTCCATAGTGGTTTCATGTCGAATGGTGATATACACCACTATCACTATGAGAATAATTTATGACACTTACATAACAAACTATATAGTATTCTCATGGTGGATCAATCTAGTGTAAATATTACTCCTAATATTTATACCTATGTGAAGACTTGATATCTCATATTCATGACTTGTGAGATACAGTCATCAGTCTACTCACATAATAGTCTCTATGTATTATTGTTGTCCTATTTGACAATAAAGTTTGACAACAGATACTTTAAGAATATTGTCCTTATGTTTAATGAGCTCTCATAATTAAGTCACACTTAATAGGTCATTAATAGACTAATTATTTTAAGGACTTTATTATGTCATATACAAATGACACAATAAATATAATGCCTAATAAGTATATATATTAACAAATAACATATATCAATGTCATGATACAAAAGCATATTAAGTCAATATTGATTGACTATTAGGGCTTACTCCAACACAAATACCAATTGTGAATGTTGCAAAACACAAAGACTACCCCTCATCTTGAGAAATTCTGACTAACACTTAGTCTCTCAAGGAACAATCAACTTAAAAGTTGAAATACAATGAGTGTGTTTATAAAGTTTCTTCTTGAAAGCAGATTACACGAGTTTGAATACAATGAAATAACACAATAGTGTTAATAGAAATTTGAATGAACAAAAGCTCCTTGTTTGCAAGTTAACAAACAAAAGTTTCTTGCTTTTACAAAACCTTACAAATGAATATTTGAAATAAAGTTGAGCAGTGCTTCACCATAATTTTTGCAGAGAATGAGTTGTTGTCTTCAATCTTTCAAGTCTTTCTTTTATAGCCAAAAATAAATCTGTTAGAGGGTAGAATAGGAATATTTAATTCCAATTATTTGTCTACAACAGTCAGTGAGGGAGTGGTAGACAATATAGTACCATAGTACATCCTTGTGCCACCATATCAGGGTAGTAGGGACATTTGTACCTTGTACTATTCTCTCACATAAACCAATTTTGATCTTATCTTCTAATCTTCAAAGGCTTCTGATGGTTGATGGTAAAGCATGCTTAGAAGGACCATAACCAGAATCTTTATGACCTAAGTCTTCAAAGTCTTCAGAACTTATTCATCCAGAACCTTGTCTCCAGAGTCTTCAGCACTTAGTCTTCAAAATATTTGTCTTCAGAATCTTCTGAGCTTGTTTTTCGGAACCTTTGTCTTCAGAACTTAGACGTATAGAATATCAGAGCTTTAGAAGTCTTCAAAAGCTCTTCCAATAGAGTCACGATCAGAAGCTCTATCACTAACTTTCATCAGAACTGTTATTATAGAATCATTCTAGAGCTTGACTGGATCAGTGTAAATACTATTGACTTCTTCCAGAGTTAGAGTGTGTTGTGTTCAAAACCTGATGATGTCACACGTCTTATCTTCAGAGTCAGAACCTGTTAGCAAAAGCTTCACACGAGACATAAACCGTTAGAGTACTAAATTGTTCTTTAAGATATCATGTAATGTTATCATCAAAAATTAAGTTCAAATGCATAATCAAATCTTGTTCGTACACCATTATCATCATCGGGTAGAGTATGAAGCTCATCTAAATCACAACTATCATTATTAGAAATATCATTCAACCTTGAAGGTTGTTTTGTTGCAGCCTTAAGGAGAACTATTGTCCAACCAATACCAACATCAGGACCTAAATGCAATTCATCAATGTAATTTTCCTCATCATCCTCACTTCTCATGTTAAAATCAGGATCTGTTTCACTCTCTTCATTTGAATCTTCAACATTTGCTTCCTCATTTACTTTTTCATTTGCTTCTCCATTTGTTGCCTAAACATTTTCTTCTGCATTTACTCCCTCATCATTAACTTCTTAATTTATTCCCTCAAAATTTGCATCTTCACCATAAGCCTCCTCAAAATAACATCTTTAATATTAACTTCTTCAACTTTGTGTTCAACATAAACATCAATGACTTTAAACCCTCTAACGTCTTCCATGAACCTTAACACATCATTGTCATTATTCAAAGGCCGAAGTACACGAGAAAAATAAAAGTTAGGATTCCAATACCATAAAAACTTTATATTACAATACCTTTCACCTTTAATTAATTCTTTGATTTACATATAGAACATTAACTCCACATCCCAATCCCAATTCATTTCATAAACAAGCCCATCAACATATAACTTCACTAAATTATGTACTAAATGTCCTTGATGGTGTATTCTAAGTCTGACAACTTGGGTATCATATGTCCTACAACAAAACATAAACAAATCACAAATATTATCAATTTAGAGACCATGAGATTAAGAAAATAGGGACCATAACACAATAACACTTCATTGACCATAAAATAAACAAATCATATAACCCAAAACCTGTAAGGGGCCACATTAACAAATCAGGGTCCTTTCAGAATGAACAAATCAGGGACCATAACCTTAAAAAAATCACAAACATTAAGTGAATCATAATGTTAACAAATCAAATCAACCTAAATGTCCAACATAATAAACAAGAGTGACATTTCAGAATTAAAAATCAAGGACCACAACATTAACAAATCACAAACATAAACAAATGTTTAGAATGAGCAATGAATGCAACAACCCTAATCAAAATCAGATTTCAGAATCATTTTAGCCTTAAACTAATCAAATGAAAACGACCATACATACCTCGAAACGTAAGTTGGGTTTACCATTTCAAAGATAAGCGACCAACAAGTAGATTCGCAATGGATATTTCAGAAAACGAGTAGATTTCACTACTATAAAACGTGTAAACAACCACGCCATGGTCACCACGGTTCTTCCCTACACCGTGGTGACATCTCTAAACTAATACACCCCCATATTATTATTTTTTTATTTAAAATTAATTGTATATAACAATGTTCGGCGAGCCAATCGTGATGAAATCGTCAAGCTTTCATGGGTTTGAACCTCAGCGCCATCATATATATTACTCCATTAATATTAAGGCGCACTTTTTTTTTAAATAAAAAACTTAAAGGCTTCTGACTACGTTTGGTATGTTTCACCGTTGTGATATAGTTTGCTTGTTTATTTAAAATTTTAATTTTAATTATAAATTAAACTCTGGTGCTTCTTTATGAAATTTCACTATGAATGTAATATATCATAAGGGTTTATGGTTTTGTTCGTTGTGGTATCTTTATAATATTATAAACTTCTAGTTAGCTTGTCTCTTTAGTATCCTATTTTCCATTGAAAAAAGAAACTAGACGAAAAATTCACGATTTTAACCCTAAACCCTAACGTTCAATATTGTGAAACAATACATGATTTCAACCAAAACACCACCGTTCATCCTAACTTGTCTCTTCAGTATCCATTCTTCACTGTGTATTTGTCATTTTCATCATCATCATCAAGGTTGACAAGACCATCACGATCGTGACGTCGAGAAGGAAGAGTACACCAACCAAGTTGTCACTGTCAAGAAGAAAGACAACAACAACATCATCGTACTTTCCATAAGGAAGGAAGACAATATAAACACCAACACCAACATCATTTACTTAGTCATCACATTTAGGGTACGTAAATATTTTTCCCATGCATCTATAGTAAACTTCATTTGCCATTGTTGTGGTTGTTGTTGTTTATGTTTTGGTTGTTGTTGTTTATGTTGTGGTTGTTGTTGTTTATGTTGTGATTGTTGTTGTTTATGTTGTGGTTGTTATTTTTAAACATAGATGCCGACCTTGTCGAGTTCTTTATCAAATACTAAGAAGAAACTCAAACAAATGAGAGTTGTGCGAATGAAACTTAAACAAATGTTACTAAATAAAAAAAACACAGAGGTGTCACAATGATGCCCCAATTCACATTGGTCCGCAACTCATCATCAGGTGAAAAAACTCCAATCGATTTTGATTCGTACTATAGAGTAGTTGATTGTGAACACTACTCTACTTTTAAGAGTTATGTTGTGTTCCTTGGACGTAGCAAAGTAAGTATACTAATAGATGATTGGAAACAAGTGGATGAGAAAGTCAAAGATAACATATGGATAGACGTTAAGGTATTACATACTATAATTTTCATATATTCGATATCACTACCTATAATTTCTAATACATTGATTTAAATGTAGTTAAATTTTGAGTTTATTGATGACTCTAAGTTGAAAAAAAGTGGATCTCTTATGCTGGTACTCGTTGGAGGGGATTTAAGTCACAGCTCACGGATGACTACATTAGGAAGCCTAAGAGCAGTTTTGATCCTCCATGGAAAAGATATAGTTTTATATAGAAGAAAGTTTGGAAAAGGTTTGTGAAGATACGTAGTTCTAAGGAATTCAAGGTTAGTACTAGTCTTATAAACTGGTAATGTTATTCTAATGAGTTATAGATACTAATCATATATATTTTTCAATATGTGAACAATAGGCTAAAAGCTAAATAGGAATACAAAACAAGACGAAGAACATGTACCCCCATAGATTGTCTCGTGGGGGTTACAGGAAACTTGAGAAAAGAATCATGCTTGAAAAACAACCATAAACAGGAGATGATCGCATCCCATATCCACCGTCAAGACATGAGAAATGGAAGAGGGCTAGATTAAGGCAAAATGGAGAGTACACCTCTGAGGCATCAAGAGTAGTTGCCGAGAAAATTTTAAGTATGATTTATTTTTCTTATGTTATTTGTTATTTAAATGTGTCGGTAATAATATATATGTAATTTTCTCATGTTGTGTAGGATAAGTTGGTTGAGGCGGCCCGTGAAGGCGCATTTATTCCAGAAGCACGACATGACATATTAATATAAGAAATCAGAACAGATAAGCATGGTGGGTGTATATATGGTGTTGGAGAAGATGGCTACTTGAGGTTATTCTTTGGGTCTAAAAAAAGTTCTGAAAGCTCGAAATTTAATGCACAAAAAAAATTGAGAATGTTGAGAAGCAATTAGAAGAACAAAAGAGGTTATTTGAAAAGGGGAGGAAAAAGGGGAGAAAGATATGGAAAGGTTTCAAGAGTTATATTAGGTATGTGCTTTACATGAGATTTTAGTGTTTTATCGGAAATGTATGATATATATTGTGCTTATTTTTGTTCTAACTGGATATTATGATGTAGAGATTAAGTGAAAACCTCGAACAATGTACAAATGAAGATCAACGTTATGTTGATGGTGATGATGGTCATGATTAAACTTCAAGTAGAAGTTTTGTACGTCGTGCTTCTACAAAAGGAAGTAATTGTTCAGCCCCTTCCTCCCTCCAGCTAACCGCAATGAGTTATTGGACCCTAACTCAAATAAAAACACCATGTTATACTTGAACGTTGCAATGATAAATGATGTGCAACCTCTCCCACTAGAATATTATCCATATTTGGAGTTATTCTATTACAATCCTGAAGATGTAAGGTATTTTTTTGGTAGATATAAGTGTGTGGACGTAGGAATATTGCAACACGTAAGTATATAGTTGAATATACATGTCATTATAGAAAACTATCATTTTTGTATTTCCTCAATTAATTTATTCATTTTATTTAACCATTTAGGCATATTCACCGTGTTTGTATAGAGTTGAATAAATCGAGTATTTATGGAATCTTGGATCCGCTTTTTACTCGATGTATGTATAATCAACCAAAAGACATTCAAGATTACTTAATAAAACGGTTAAATGAGGGAGGAAAAGAATGTTACTTAGCACTATTTCTCTGTTCGTACGTGTGATACGGTGGGAGAAATGACTTTTTGTTTTGCGTTTTGATCGCAAATGTTGCGGTTAGCAAGAGTCACCACCGACTTTTCTTTTATCCAATAAGGAAAGGTGAAAAAGAACAGGAAATACCTTTGAGATTGTTTATTGAGTTCGGGGGGTAGATTATTAAAAGGGAAGATATTAGCACCCTTTTCATCCATTGTTTTCCATGGGCTCTTAGTTTACTCGCTAGATCACTTGCTTTTATTTGAATGTGTTCTTGTAATGTGGGTTTTGAAAGTATTTTAAAAATGTGACTTTGTAATGGCTCTTGTTTCTATAAGAACGCGTACAAAGTGTTGTTTTGAAAATAGTTCAAAGAGGTGTTTGTGGAATGTGTTTTTTGAAAGTGATTTTGAAAAGGTGTCTTGTAATGGCTCTCGTTTCTATAAGAATGCGTACAATTTTTGAAAATGTTTCAAGATGAAAGTGTTGGTGTATAAAAATGTTTTTGTTGTGAGCAAGCGAGCAACTAGGAGTGAATCTACCTACTCAAAAGGTCTTAGATTTTCTTTTCCTCCTACTTTAGATGTTGCTATCTTACCATGGATTTGGTAAGAAGCCCCATTGTTAGATGTGAAGGGACGAGTGTGGGACGTTTGTATAATAATAGAAGGAAACCTATGGGATTGTTTAGCAATGTTGTTTTAGGGACTAGATCGTTTACCGAAGGCAACATCGAGGGTCATCGAGGGACTACGATCTTTTATCGAGGGTCTTTTGCTAAAATGCCCATGTTCGAGGGACATGACTAATTTCTGATAGGCAACAAGTGAGATTACCCTAAGGGTGCGTGTGTGCAAAGTGTGTTTGATTTGCATGCGTTTAGTCTTGATTAGGGTTATCTATTTGTTGATTTAATATCTTGCCATACACATCCTAATTACTATCATTTTATATTTGGAAAAGTGTTAAATTGCGGAAATATAAAAGTCCTACGCTATTACAATATTTTAGGGATGGGGGTACATATTTACAAATGGGGGGTTGCAAGAATTTAAATTCTATTTAACTATTACAACCATATTGAAATGTACAATGCAAGAGAGAAAAAGGACTTGTTTAGAAAATGGTTTTTTGTCTTAATGAATTAAGAAAAATAAATAAATAAATAAATAAAAGAAAATATTTTCATGTCTTTTTTATATTAATAAAAAATAGGATTAATATTGAAAATGTTAAAAGAAAAATAAATGAAAGATAGAAACAGCGTGCCGCTGCAAGCAAAACAACAAGGATCAGGAGTTCTGAAGCCAGGCGCGTGGTGACTCAGAAAGGAACGTCAGTGGAATCAGAAGTTCTGGATTGATACACTCTAAGGCCCTTCAAGAAACGTCAGAGGGAAAGGAAATAAAGGTTTTGGGTGGTATTCAGACAGTGAGCCAAAAGTCATAAGTTTTGTGTTGTACTAAAATAGTGAGTGAACATCAGAAATTCAGTGTGTTGTCAGTGTGTGAAAATCAGAAATTCAATATGTTGTCAGTGTGTGAAAATCATAAATTCTGAGTGTTAAAACAGTGAGTGAAAGCATTAGAAGTTCAGTGTGCTTAACAGTAATAAATCCTAGAAGTTATATATGTTAAAACAGTGAGTGAGCATCATAAGTTCTATGTGTTAGAACAGTAAAAAAGCCTAGAAGTTCTGTGTTAAAACAGTAAGAAAGCCTAGAAGTTCTGTGTGTTAAAACAGTGAGTGAGCATCAGAAGTTCTGTGTGTTAAAACAGTAAGAAAGCCTAGAAGTTATGTGTGTTAAAACAGTGAGTGAGCATCAAAAGTTCTGTGTGTTAAAACAGTAAGAAAGCCTAGAAGTTTTGTGTGTTAAAACAGTAAGAAAGCCTAGAAGTTATGTGTTTAACGTGTAGGGAGAACTCAGAAGTTCTGTGTTATGCTAAAATAGTGAGTGAAAAAAAACAGGGGTTCTGTGCCACATTTCAACTCCTTCCTCATATTAATC